AAAAATAAAATACCAAGATAAAAACCAAAAAAAAATGAGGGACTAAACAAACGCTCTTCTTACGTCTCAGCAAAATGCGGAGAAAGAGCAAGAACAAACGATGAGAGTTTGAGATGCAGACTTACGAGATAGAGCAGGAGAGAGAGAGAGGAGACCCGTAAGCCTCGTCAGCCCCATCCCTATCCCAGATCTGCAAATCTGAGAGAAAGAGGGTAATACCCATCCTAGTCTATAGATCAAATCGAGAAACAGACTCCCCTTCCCCTGTTTTCGCCTACGTATATAGGATATTTTAAGAGGTGAACATCTTTCTTAGTAACAGGGTCTGAGGAAACAATAGGAAAGAAAATTTCACTATATTTCAGACCAGGAACTGGGCCTATCACAAGACTCTTTATGAGGACCCAACAAAGAAAAAGAAAGAAAGAGAGAAGAAAAATAAGAGAAAGGAACAAGCTCATACTTGGAGGAGGTTGAAACTAGAACGTGGAAGTGGAGGGTGGCTCTGGACTCAAAGAGGTACGTTGCTAAACTCTTCTCACTTTTGATTTCTCGGTGTGCTCTCAGTCTCTCTATCGCTCCATCTCTCTCCCTCTGTTATGCTGGACGACAATTTTTTGGGCTTGAAACGATAATTTTTTGACCTTGACCATCGATTCCCAAATTTTTTTTTTGATTGGAAAATAACTTATTGTATTAAAAATAAGATAAATATCAAGAATGGTGGATAAGGAATCTAACTACAAAAGCAATGAAAAGGAAAAACAAAAAACAAAAATTACAAACAAAGGAAATAACTTGTAAATCACATAAAGCTAGCCATCTTGAAAGTATAGCAAAAAATGGAGTCTCTCTAAACTGATTTGCACCTAAGGCCCAAAAAGAAGCTAAGAAATGAATCTGGTCTCATAATCTATCCAAACAGTCTCCTCTGTCTTAAAAAATACGTGTGTTTCTCTCCTTCCATATAACCAAAAAAGTTACAATTATAGCACAATTCCATAGAGTGATATCCTTATCAAGAGATCCTAAGCCTTTCAAATCCTCAACAAACAAAGATATGGATGATTTAGGAAAGACCCAACTCAAGTCCACCAAGTTAAACAACTTATGCCACAAAGTCAAAACAACAACGCAATGTAAAAACAAATGATCAATACTTTCATAATCACTTTTATACATCACACACCACTAAGGAGAAAGAAAATTAATAGGTCTCCTACTCTAAAGCATATCGTTGGTATTAATCTTCCCACATGCAATAGTCCATGCAAAAACTTTCACTTTAATAGGCACTTTTGCTTTCCAAATCATTATAGCTGGAATAAACGGAGGACTTGATGAATGGACAATTAAAGAATCATTGAAGGATTTAGTGGAAAAAGCACCGGATGACTCAAGTACCCATCTCCTTCTGTCGCATAACTCTTGAGATAACAAAATGTCATCAATAGTAGCAAGAAAAGACATCAACTCCAAAGTATCTTTATCATCAAGATTTCTACGATAACCAAAGTTTCAAGAATAAGGATGATGAAAGAGCTAATCATGGAAGAAATAGATACGCCATGAAAACCGGATAAGTGATAAAGTTGTGGAAACAAAAATGACAAAGATAACTCCCCCACCCATGGATCTTCCCAAAAACAGATCCTTTCTCTATTACCCGCCACAAAACTAAGATAATGGGAAAACCTCGTTATAACCAAAGATATGAATTTCCACGGGCATAAAACTTACCCTCTCAACCCTATTAGTGTCCCATCCATTGACTTGTAAATCATATTTGCTCTTAATAACTAAATGCCAAGGAGAATTTTGTTCGAAGGGAAACCTCCAAAGCAACTTGCCTACTAAAGCAATATTTCTGACCTTCAAATTACCAATCGAAAGACCACCTTTATCCCTAGATCTAGAAACCACATCCCAACTAATCAAATGATTCTTTCTCCCCTCACCACTTCCTTTCCACAAGAAAAGAGTTTAGATTACCCCCTAAAGGTAACCCTAAGTACTTTAAAAGCTACTCAAAAACTAAACATCATATAGCTTCTACCAATCTTATCATCTTCAATAGAGAGAGAATTTGTAGAGAAAAAAAACAATTAACATTTATTCTCCTAGCAATATCAATAACCAAGACTTGAAATCCATTACATATAGGGTCTATTTAATGGCTATAATAAAAACCATAATTAGCACTTTCCAAAATAAAAATCATAATATTAAAATCTTAAATTAACAAACAAACCCAATAAATCCTGAAATATAAAGTACCCCTAAAAAGACCCATAATCATTATTTATTCATCATCCCATTCCTTTACATTCTCGTAATATATTCTATCAAGCTTTCGGTAGGATACCTAGGAATTCATTTCCAAAACACCCAATAGACAAGTCCAATAAGCCCAAATAACTCATTTAGCAATGCCTTCCAACAATTTTGCAGGAGCACCCAAGTTCCAGTCATGCAACAATCAATACAAAAAGACATCTAAATCAAGGAGATCCTCCTGGAAGCGAGGTCCACTCAGGTAGGTTGAACAGCTCCTGTTAGGCTCAAAGCTGACGATTTTTGCCTTATTCCTAACCCACTGTTGGATGATTTGGCGGCACTGTAATGAGGTGCTATTTCAAAATGCGAAGAAGGAACAGGAGGAAATGGCCGGCAATGCTAAGAGATACCATGACCAATATTTGGAGACGATTGGGAATGCAGATCGTAGTTAGGCTGCGCAAAGAGAGGTGCAGTGGAATCCTCCAAAGCCAGGTTTCGTCAAAGTTAACTTTGATGGTGCAACCTTCGAACAAGAGGAGACCATTGGCATCGGTGTGGTTATCAGAGATAAAAGCGGTCAATTTCTAGCAGGACTCTCCAAAAAGTTTCAGATCAAAGGTGATGCCCTTCTAGCAGAGACAATGGCCACCAGAGAAGCTGTCTTTCTAGTGCTTCAACATGGGTTTCAGGAGGTTGTCACCGAAAGGGACTCAGCTATCGTAGTCAAAGCAATTGCTGACAGAGAGGATAACTACAATCCACTGGGACATCTATAATGAGGCTAATAAATTTGCTATCCTAGAAATAGATGTTGTCCGACGAGCAGGGAATAAGGTCGCACATCATCTAGCTAGGCATGCTTGCTCTATTGATTATTTATCTGTATGGAGAGAGCATCCCCCAGATTTCTTAAAGCCTCTCCTCTTTTCTGACATATCGGTTTAATGGAATTTTTATGATCGTTTCTTTCACAAAAAAAACAAAAAAAAATCAAGGAGATCCTCCATCACCTTCTCTGGCAGGAGTGGCTTCTATAATAAGGCTGAGCTTCTCAAACAAAGAAGGCTTACTTACCATGGTATTAGTAAAGGCCCTCTAACATTAATGATCACCCCAGCATTCTAAAAATTAATAAGAGCTTATGAATATGCAATCATCAATCTGCTACAAGTTTATTTTAACATTTACAAAAAGGCTAACTATGGCTCATCATCGTGATCAGAAACAGCTTCAACAAAGTCAGTTACCTAGTACATTAGCTACCAGGCCAAGCAGTAATCACCTTTGCCAAACATTTTCCAAAATAAACTGGATGAACCGATCTGGAAGTATCTGGCCTTCCCCAGTCAACTGGGATATCGAAAATTTCAGAACCCTCCAACTGCTTGGAACAAAAGAACATAGAATGAANATGAACCGATCTGGAAGTATCTGGCCTTCCCCAGTCAACTGGGATATCGAAAATTTCAGAACCCTCCAACTGCTTGGAACAAAAGGACATAGAATGTAAGCAAGAAAGGAAAAAAACCTAAGAGGCGATCTCCAATTGCAGAACAGTAATCAACAACAATGATTTCTTACCTCAAAGTAATCATCACGAAAAGAAATTTCATCCCTAAAACCACTCTCAGAAATGTCATATTCAGCATCATATATCCATTTGTTCTCATATAGTGGGATATCCATCCCAAATAAAGCATTCTGAAGAAATGCAAGAATATAATTGATTAACACAGCTTTGCTATAGTTTGTGCAAATCAAATTACAAAAAATTGAAATATCCTCCAAGTCTATGCTATCAGACAAAACTACTGCATGGATGCCAACTTGCCAAGGAACAATTCTGATGTCCTAAAACTAAATTGTCCGACTGTTCTCCAGCTTTGGACTGGGGATTGAATTTATGTTTAATTACAAGACTCAAGACTTACTCTTGTTTCTACATTAAAGGATTTAATATTTACAATTAGTGTAATGTAATTGTACCTTTTATTGGGTTCCAGCGTGTGCACACTGAGAGAGATACGGAGCCAAAGAGAGACAGAGAGAATGCAGATATGTGAGAAGGAAGATCCAAAAAATATAGAACAGTTTGTATGTTATGTTTTGCAAGGGAATGCGGGAATTTAAAATTGCTGGAGACCAAGAGACCTAATCCCTATCCCTTTTAATATATAGTGATTGACAGTAGATATGAAAGATGTCTTTCATAAATTGAAGAATCGAACAGATATCATAAAATACATTTTTTATATGACAAAACTACAAAAGAAAAATGGGAGAAAAAGAGATATTGAAGTCCAAAAATATTACTTCACACTCGAAATTTCCTAATGATTACATTATGTAGAAACAAAATGTCGTTACGTGCAAAGTAAAATTAATTTTTACATTCAGGAAGGTGCAAAACACGTTGAAATTTTAAAGATCTTTTATTAACTTTTAGACACCTAATTTTTAGCAAGGTGTGCGCAATGATTTCCAGCACACAAAGTGCCTGAGCTACAGTCATCCAAAAGGGGAAATGTAACAAAAGATAATGAAAGTCCTCACCACAGGGTTACTTGCACCACGATCTTGCAAGATGTTTTCATCATCAGAAATTTCAAAAAATATATCTGAGGAAAAAAGTAGTACAATCAGGATGTTAAATGTAATCATTTCATGTTATAGACTAACAAGTATCATCCTAATAACAGATAGAAACAGCCAAACCTCCCCACTCATCAATAACATATTGAAACTCAGCCCATGAGATTTGTCTGTGTGGTTCACAGTGCACCATACTTGGAAATATCAACCAAGCACTGTTGTTTGCCTGAAACAACAAAGATCAGACCATGTATTTTGAAGAAAGAAAAAGAACTTATATCCTCTCACTAAGAAAACGAATATTCAGACAATTCAAGGATTTTGTTTTAGTTCTGAAATAGAACTTCACCATTCCATTGGGAAGAAAAATATATACTCTAGTTCCAAAAATAAAAATTTTTAGGGGAGAAAAAAACCTCAACTGCAGTCCGTGCTATTTCAGCAGAGGTGAGATTAATGTCACGAACTCTTTTGCGATCTTT